CAAATCTCTCGGGGCATCGGTGGAAATGAGTGTCGCGTTGCTGTCTGATTTTTGCTATCGGAAAAATGTTGAAGTGCGTCCTCCTAATTTTTGAATGATGTATTAAACTTACAGTGTATTATTCATCTAGTCCGGATCTCTACATCGCGAGGGCGTGGTCTATGATGGGCATTACGACCCGTGGATCGAGGATGACATCGACATCACCTATCAGTCGCTGCCATTTGACAAGCCACGCCGAACACGCCCTGGGTATATCAATGTTTCGCTTTTCAAGCCAACACATGAATCATTCATTGTGACTGCACTTCCAAAAACCGTTCGCGACAAATACAATATTCCTCCGTACGACTCGGACCATTCCCTCCAAAATGCCGATTCCAGGATTGTTCAGCTTCCCCTTGTCAATTTATCGGCAGCTCGCACTAACCGCTACGAGTTCTTAGCGGCTACGCAGGATACCAAGTTCGCACTAACACCTATTCACACCAACGAAGAATATTCGTTGTTCAGCAGAGAAGTGCGGCCTGGTGGTCGGTTCGCTTCGACTGCAACTCCGAATTTCAAAGAAATGGCCAAATGGTGGTCATCTCAGGTGGATGGAAAGACAAAGTTCTACAAACTTCCAGAGCACTTTGCGACCCACTACAAGACATGGACTGCAGTCCGAACTGAACTTACTACCATGCAATTGACCGAGTGCGATCGTGCAGAATTCATGGACATAATTCGGTCGGATGCCCATACCAGCATTGTGTTGGATGAATCATTTTCCCCAGTTGTACAAGGCCGCAAATCGATTACCTTGTCTGTGCAGATCGCCGTCAAGAATCGCCGCCACGCTGAACCCGTGACTCAGGCCCCAAAATCGATTCAACCCTCACGATGCCCCTCCAAGCCAGCCTCAGTTCCTGATCCTTCCCCGTTCCTCTTCGCGAGGTCCACGGGACCCACTACACTACAATTCACCATGCCGACCTTTGCTGCTCCAACTACAGTGGGTAGACCGGGGCCCGGTCCCGGATCCGGACTTCCTGCCAATGTGACGCAAAAACCGGTCAAGAAAAAATCATGTGCTGTTTGCAAAAGCGTCGGAAGGAATGGGGAGCAGTGCAAGGGCAGAGGAAACCGTACACTGTGTCCATTCTACGGCTCAGTGGGTGCAGTTGGCCCTAGAAGATGAAAATATAACAGGTACACTTCTTTTGTAGAGTTCTGGTGGTCGGCTCGAGCTTAACCATGCTTTAACAGTGTTGAATTACAATTTTCGGAGACCTCGTACACTGTGTACCGTACTGTTTTTGACTGTCACTTATAATAGTTCATAATGTCAATTTTCGTTATTCGTTCGACCATCAGTAACTTGCTGGCGCGGACACCGAGACATCACAGTTAAAATGTACGCACGGAAGTAGGTACTAGCCAGTCTAGCGACCGAGTTGCAGGTAGAAGGACAGATAGGCAGAAGAAAAAAAGAAAAACAGCGAGGTTCGAACCTGGAACCAACCAGTGATGGGAATTTACAAGCAACCATGGTCGTTAACAGAGGCATAGTCAGAGCTATGGTAAGAGGTCCCCCCCGGTATGTACTCAACCACACCGAGCTCGAATATTTGAAAAAAAACTTTTTCAAATATTTCCCAGGACATAGCACCAGGGCCCATTGGAGGGCCTCATGTGAAGACTCTCAACAACCTTTGTCTTGGCTATATTTTTTAGACCTGTTTCAATTGTCTCAATGGAGCTACTGTCAATGAAGAAAATGTCGGTGAAGCTGAGAATAAAGTAAATCCACTTTCAATCTTTGGATCACAAAGCTCACTTGGAAGTTGATTTTGCTATAAACTTGAGTGCAATCTGTGTTTTTCCAGCACCACCTAATCCATGGAGGAGAAAAATATCTTGTTTTCCTGTGGTTTGTGTGAAATATTCATGCATTTGTTGGAGAATGATCTGTCTGCCATGAAATATTTTGGAGGGTGGCAAACAATTGTTGATCTGTTGTGGGACTTGTACTACTGGCACATCTGAAGAATTCAAGATGAGATTGAACACTCTACCATTTAAAAGAGAATGATACCAGGTGATATCACAGTCAACACTTTTTGGACCTGGAAATTTGTATCCATGGTTGCCATGAGCTGAGTACAGTTATAATCAGAAAATATGTGATGGATTAAACACAATGTATGCACCATGAAATTAGACCTCAACTCCTGCATCCTGGTCCGAAATCTGCTGATATCATCCACAGTGCTGCTTGCCTTGATAACTTCCTTGAAACGGGCACCAAAGCCTCATGGTTTCATTTGCAGTTGATTAACTGTGTCCAGCACATCCTGCAAGAACCTAGGTGGAATACCATCACCAGAAATCATTGATTGGAGATTGAGTCACTTACGCTTCAAGTTCCTCACATTGAGTTTTGAACTTGAGAGCAGCTGTATCTCCATGGGCAGATATCTGGTCTCGAAGCACAGTGATGATATCCACAGTATCTCCACACAATTCTCTCATGCTCTCCTGATTCTGTTTAACTTTCTACAGGAGCCAAATCAGCACCATTTTCAGCCCGGAACAGTTCAATTTCACTCCATACCTGAACTGCCTCCAAGAGGAATACAACCGTGCCAAAGACACCTTTCACATATGGAAATGGAAAAGCATCTGCACCAGCAGTCATCAGCTTTGCATTGAAGAGGAGGGCTTCAAGCCAGGCTGGGCTAGAACTCTGGGAGGCCTTGGATGGTTGCCCTTGCTGCTGAGAGGGGCGGGAGACAAGTTTATTCTGTGGGGTGCTGGCAGACATGGTGGGAGGGAAAGAGCGAGACACCTCATCAATCAGGTTCTTACATAAAGATGTTGTTGAAACTTACCCATCCATTCAGTGGTTGATTCAGCCAACAAATGAAATGCTTGAATCTTTGTTGCATGAATCATCACAGCCTTCCCCTGATCGGTTCCCGCCGGGTACTAATGAATTTTAAAATTTCTATAATTAGAAAACGGTCACTGCGTTCCGACCCCATGTAGACTGACCCCTGTCTACCTTAAGTTACATGCGGCGACATGAGGCTATACACAGCTACCTGTGTGTACGCCGTGATGTTCGGCACGCTTATGTTACGTCCGTCTACATGCCGTCTATATGCCGTACACGAACCGTCCGCTACATAAGTCGACCTGCGTCTACGCCGTCGACGCACTTAGACGCACCTCGACTTAGGGCCATTTCTGATGCTCTATGGCACAGGTCAGGCATTACCCTCCCCGACTATTCTGCAGGCATGCCGGTAGGCCTCGGTCTTTGAGCTCCACATTATATCAAGTGACTTCTCGGCGCTCGCCGGGTGGCATCAAACACCGTTGCCAAACATGCACAGCTGCCAGCCATCAACTACTTACTATATGAATGCGATTTTCTTCAACCAAATCCTCGCCCCATTCCGAATCTATTCACGGGTCCAAATTTCTCAACCAGGTGTAGGCTTGGGGTACATGTGTCTACGTCCGTCTGTGTGTGGCTACGTCGGTCCACGTGTGCGTACATCAGTCTAGGTCCCGGGAACTGGCGAAGCGGAGTCTAAAAATCCTGCTCGGCAAGGTCGGCTGCCTCAAACGAAGTGCTGGGGCGCGAAGTGCCCCAGCGCGCTCTTGTATGTTTACAAAATAATGAGTCAAAATCCGGACTGAGCCTGTAGGTTGAGGAGCAGCTCTAGTGGGCCCACCGCCTCAACTTTCTTCACAAGGATCTTTCTTTCCTTCTTTTATAAAACACAACTCAAAAGGAATTGATATCTACACTAATCAAGCATGTATCCAAAGCAAGGAAGGCTCAGTGGTGGATGGTCCACACCTGCATTCCTTGCCCCTCTATCACTGATCTACGCAGGAGGAGCCCGTTCGATTCGGGCCCGAGCCATTCGTTTGTTGGAGTATATTTTTTTTTCAACTAGGAAAACAACAGTGCGTACATGCAGGTTGAATGAGTAGGAACACCAGCTCAGTCAAGGAAGGTATGATTTACACATCTATTTCCTGGAGCCTCGCAATCATTATGGACCAGAGGAGCTCGTTCGACTAGGAGTTTTTCCTTTTCTTGCAAGTTAGACCCTGGCGAAAATAAAATCTGCGTAAATTCAGGTCGCATTGAGGATGAACGGAACGATGGCGGACGGTCCCATGCGTCCCCCAAAAATCAAGCACCTTCGATTCCGGGCCATTTTTTTAGTTCTGCTGAGATGGGCGTGATTTCAAGTTGAATCATTGGGAGGACATATGGTACGGGTTGAGGCTGAATTGAACCCAGGGAAGGCTCGGTGGTGGATGGTACCACGTCTGCTTTCAGTTCTGCACACACTAAGCCACTTAAGCAGGAGGAGCCCGTTCGATTCGGGCTCGAGCCATTCATCATCAGACGACGCTTTTTTTACCTGCCGCCTGCGCAGTTTAAACCAGGCGTGCGCTCGTGGGGTAATTCCACCGTGCTCCTCCGGTTCTAGCGAGCGCTCGCAACAATCACAACGATGCTTCTTTTTTTCTTCCTGGTTCATTAAAAAAGAAGAGGAAGAACCGTGAGGAGGAGGAGGAGGATTGCCTAAGTGTTGCGAGCGCTCACTCGAACTGGAGGAGCGCGATGAAATTTCCCCACGACGGCACGCTTGGTTTTAAATATCGCAGGCGTCAGCTAAAAAAAAAGGGAAGAAGAATTAAACATGGCTCGGACCCGAATCAAACGGGCTCGTCCTGCGTCTACGTAAAGCTGGTTCAAGAAATGCAGGTGTGGATCATCCACCACCGAGCCTTCCTTGCTTTGGATACAAGCTTGATTGGTGCAGATATTTTCTTTTCAGTTGTGTTTTATTTAAAAAAAAAGAGAGAATCTGGCTGTGACTGTTTTGAGCGCTCACTCGGACTCAAGGAGCGTGGTGAAATTGTGGGTTCTACGACGCGCAGGCGGCAGTTGAAATAAAATTGAAAAACTCACTTCCTTGAACGAACGGCTCGGACCCGAATCGAATGGACTCCTCCTGCGTCAATGTCTCAATTCACAGGCTCACGAAATGCAGGTGTGGACCATCCACCACCGAGCCTTCCTTGCTTTCGACGCACGCTTGGTTGGTGTGGAAAATGATTTTCCTTTGCGTTGGGGTTCATGAGAAGAAGAAGAAATCACCGTGAGTGTTGTGATCCAGGTGGAGCCCTCACTCAAACCGGGTGTGTGCGGTGGAATTGCATCACGACCGAACGCCTGGTTTCAAATTTCGCAGGCGACAGCTATTTTAAAAAGAAGAAGAAGAACGTGTCTTCGCTGAACATGGCTCAGGCCCGAATCGAACGGGCTCGTCCTGCGTCTACGTAAAGCTGGTTCAAGAAATGCAGGCGTGGACCATCCACCACCGAGCCTTCCTTGCTTAGAATGAGCGCTTGATTGGTTCAGAAATATCCTTCCATGATCTAACAAGGACTTACGGAAAAAATCCTAGTCGAACGAGCTCCTCCGGTCCATAATGACTGTGGGGCTCCAGGGAATAAATGTGCACCTACCTGACAGGGTCTTTTCATCTCTCAAGCCAGGCTTGACGTACGCACCTTTGTTTTGCTAGCTATAAAAAAAAAACATAGTGTCATATACGAACGGCTCAGGCCCGAATCGAACGGGCTCGTCCTGCGTCTACGTAAAGCTGGTTCAAGAAATGCAGGTGTGGATCATCCACCACCGAGCCTTCCTTGCTTTGGATGCAACCTTGATTAGTGTAGATGCTAATCCCCTTTTGAGTTATGGTTCATAAAAGAAGGAGAGAAACATCGCTGTGATTGCTGTGAGCGCTCGCTAGAACCGAGCATGGTGGAATTACATTAAGTACGACCGCATGTCGGTCCTACCAAATCTTATGTTGGAGATTTCTGTAGCAAATCGACTTGCCCGAAAGTGGTTGTAGTAATTAAGGAGCTCAGTGCCGGCATTTCCTGTTGCGTCTCCGGGAGGTGTCAAACCAAATCCAGCGGAAAGGTTACGTAACAGCAAAATTGACCCGTATTCTTCACCCTCCTCTTTCTCACTCCTTCCTCGTTCCTTCCTCGCCTCTAAACCCCTGCCCCGCATATACTAACAATAACCCCTCAGACCCTCAAGCCCTCCTCTACACGCTCCTCATCCCGCGCTCGCTGTCCTTCTCGCTCTCGCACACACGGCCACTTCCGCGCAACGCCTCACAACCCGTCCTGCCCAACGCCTTCATGGTCCCGCCCACGCCTCGCCTTGCACCACCCGTCCTTGCACCCTCACCCCCGCCGGTCATCCTCTCCAACGATGACGGCTTCACCTTATTGCATGAGACGAAGGCGCTGGGCGTGCGTCGCAGTTCCTCGTGACTTGCGCTCACACTCACATTAACAGCATAATGCCGTACCGCCTTGCCGCCTGCGTCCACTCTCGCCCACCCGCCGGTGCATGTCGAAGCCGCACACGCTCCGCAGCCGCGAATCCGCGCTTCGCACGGCGTATGCGGCTACGCTTCGCGCCACTACGTTCGACTACCACTTCCCAAGACACTACACGCATGTACGGCTACAACTGGGTGGCGCGCACGGCTAGACTATACGCTCATACGCTCAACTAAGGCGGCCCGCTATCAAGACACTATCGACGTCTGTGGCTTCGGTGCGTCGCAGTTCCTCGCTTATGGCCTGCGCTCACTTTCATCGCCTCAGTGCTTGCCCAGTGCCTCCGCGCACCGCCCGCGTCCGCTTGGCGGTCCACATCGAAGCCGCGCACTCCACCCAGCCGCGAATCCGCGTCGGTGGCGCGCACGGCTAACCCACGCCACACTACGGCGGCATACCCAGAAGCCATCTACCCCAACTCATCACAGACGCGGTGTCGCGCACAATACGCTATATATGCTACGGTGGCCCACACTGCCAAGAAGCTATCCACAGCAACTCAATCGCGAACTCGGCGCCGCGCGGAAGGACGCTATACTATCCTATCTACTAGACACTATCCACCGCTACGGCTCCGGCTACGACTATCGCAACGCGCCTTTACTCCAAGAGCACAACGTCCCGCCGTACCTTCCCCGCAACGCGCCGCGCCGGCCGTACCCGTTTTGAAACGCCCTGCAACTCGCCGCACCTACTGTGCCTGCCTTCCAACGCGCTGTACCCGCCCTGCAACGCGGTTCACCTGCCCTGCAACGCGCCGTCCCGCCCTCCGACCCTGTACAACGCTAATCAGCAATTCAAGACACTATCTACGTCTGCGGCTACGACTCACGATGCTATCTACGTCTACGGCTAGCGCGACTATACATATCATTCCACGAGCCCAAACGCCGTGCCCGCGCCACCTTTCCCGCTCGTCACCGTGCCGTATTCGCCCGCCCTCAAGCGCGTCGTACCCGCGCCGCCACCCCGCCCTCCGCATCTGCACATCGCTAACCCTAATCAGCGCTCAATCGAAAACTCGATGTAATATTACTTACCTATCATGCAATCGCACTCGTGTCCTGGCGCTACTCGGTTTCGTGATCGTGTCGAACGCTTCCAAGACCTCCGTTGAATTCGAGCCGCCATCGCGATGTTATAAAAATATAAAAATATAAATCAAAGTTAGTCGAGCTCGCATGTCAGAAATTCTAGTCGTACCGTCGCTCGAGCATATACATTGAAGAAACACCTTTTTGTTGGCGTTTCTGATTACACTCTCAACCACACGGCTGCTCTATTTGGTTTTACGTAGCTCAATCAGTAAAATTCCGTCTGAAATGCTCACTTATACGAGTTTCTATGCCTTCGACGAAGGCCCGGTAGCGGATGGTCCGCACCTGCGTTCAGTGGTTGAATGCGCTTCTATATGCCGGAGCTGCTCGTTCGATTCGAGCCCGGGTCATGGGTTGGTTGGGAATTTTTTTGACCTTCATTTGCTGGAAGTCTATACATATCCAAGTGTCCCTTAAATGGATCCTACGAAAAAACACGAGGGTCCTATCACATAGAAATTTCACGACGAGTACCCGATCTGCGTGTATTCAATGCGGGCGTCTCCTGCTTAATTTTTTTTTTTAGTGGCCTCACTACATACTGAAACCAGGCGTGGTGTACCATCTACCACCGAACCTTTCTTAGGTTCAATTCAGCTTTGACCTGTACTGCTTGCCCTTGCCAATGGCTCAACTTGAAGTCACGTCCATCTCAACAGAACTAGGCCGGAATTGAAGACGCTTAAATTTCTGGGGACCTTGTACTGAACGTAGGCGCCACCGATCCGGTCCCCTTATTTTACGTAGTATTTTACTTTCGCTGGCCATGGTCTAACAAGAAAGGCGACAAACTAGCTTCTTCGTCGGTTCGCCATAATGACTGCGGGGCTCCAGGAAATAGATGTGCACCTCCCTGACAGAGCATTATCGTCTCTCAAGCCAGGCTTGACGTACGCACCATCAGGGTCATATATGAATGGCTCAGGCCCGAATCGAACGGGCTCTTCCTCCGTAAACGCACACGAATACAGCAAGAAATGGCAGATGTGGACCATCCACCACCGAACCTTCCTTGACTTGGATACACGCTTGATTAGTGTCAATATTTTTGACTTGTGGTTCATAAAAAATAAGAAGGAAGAGAGAAACACAATTGTGATCGCTGTGAGCGCTCACTCGGACTGGAGGAGCAGGGTGGAATTGCATCACGACCGCACGCCGGGTTCTACGCAGCTAAAAAGAATATACAGCAAGCGATGAACAATGGCTCGGGCCCGAATCGAACGGGCTCTTCCTGCATAATTTGACGAGATGAGTTATCAAGGAATGCAGGTGTGGACCATCCACTACCGAGCCTTCATTGCTCTGGATACAAGCTTGATTGGTGCAAATCCCAATTTCCTTTTGCGTTGTGGTTCATAAAAGAAAGAGAGCAAACATCACCGTGATTGTTGTACTTTTGGGCTGGAAAATCGTGTGTTACTCGGCCGTATGAAGGCACAACCGTGTCTAACCAAACCCCACAAAAGCTGATCGAGAACCTGCCCATCCTGCCTCGGTCGCGTCGCAACTTGAAAGCGATGCGACGTCGTCATGAAAGGCGGCATGCAGTCCACAAAAATTAAAACGGCCTTGGAGATGTGAGCTGGACGTCGCATTCCACAGCCAACGTCGAAAAAACAGTTGGGAAGCCGTACAAGTGAAGACGAAGCCGGCCGAATTTGTGCGTATGTAAAATGGCGCCGTCTGGTGCCAAAGCAGCCGATCCTGTGGTGCACGCTTTTTGCTCATTTAACGACGCCAAATGAAGGATATGCGGACAAGAATGACTTTGTATCATCAAAAATGTCGAGAAACGATTCAGAGGAAGAGAAACGGCGCCCCAGGCGGCCGATCAAAAGTTTGTTTTTGTTTTTGTTTAACGCCAACTGTCATCAAATTTTGCAAACAGCTGCAACTCCGGATGCAGTCGACGAGCTAGAGCCAATTAAGTTCCACAGATGCCTGAGAGACCCACACAAGACGTATGGTATCTAACAAATTCATGAGCAAGGGCAAAGAGCTAGTGCCCCGAGAACCTTGGGTGTAAATTGAACACAGGACCGACTGAATTGTCTTGGTATCATGTACGATACAACTGTACACTGTTCTCTTATTTTAGGTAGCAATCTACTGCCTCACAATCATAAGCCAACATTACAACTGCTTCTTCCCGCCATCACTCCCAACCACTCTAGTTCCATCCACCCAACTCATCACCGCCGCCGTCGTCAAGATGGTCGAGAGAAACATTGGCGCATGCACCCACCGCGTATTTGTCGTCGGTGCCCCGAGGTAGCAGAATTGGAACTGCTCAACTACGAAAAGCGCGGCGAGGATGCGCGGCGCGTTCCGGCGCAAGCCCGACGCTGTGGGCTTTTGGGAGGTATAGAGAAGGTATGGTGTGGCGGCGAGGGCCATGAGCCCGAGCTCCAAGAGGAACATTGTGCTAGGAGAGTCGAACAACGAAGTGCCATGGGCTTTGCTTGAAGACGGGGTCAGGACCATGTCTGACAGCGAAGATGTAAATTTATTTGCGACTGATATCATGAGCAATTTTAGATACCTGGCCGGTGCGTCGTGGCATCAAGGATGTAGTGCGTCGATGTCACGAAAAAGAGCGCAAGAAAATCAGTCATCGGGACTGTACTCCAATTTTTGGTGAAAAAGGCCGTGTATAAGGCCGCGAAACCGGCAGCTATATTATTTGTGCCGTGAGCGGTAAAAAAATTACGACCCAGAGAGAAGCAAACCCATAATAACCTCTCCGACGAGGGAGTGGCTGTATGGATAATCGTTGGCGTACGGAAAGCAACCTCGCAGGTTGAGGGTGGGGCTATAGCGGAACTCCTCGATCCCTAGCATGGCGTTGACGAAGAAAATTGCGTCGGGGAGGGAGCCGGCCATGGCCAGAGCCCACATGGGGAGGTTGGGAAAAAATGGCTTGAGGGCCAGGGCGGGGGCAAAATGGGCAATCCACATGTTTGGAGAGGAAAGTACGAGCATATGTCGATCTGAGAGATATATAGAGAGAAATCGGGCTCTGTGATATCACTATGACGAAGAGTGGGGTTCATCCAACCTGCATTCCGATCGAGGCTCCCACAGTCCAGATGATGACGCACATAAAGGATCATTCGGCCTTCGTTGCTTTATACATAGTGTAGGGGGCAGAATTATTCCAGGGTAATTGAGCCAGGCAGAATGGCAGAGCGGCAGGCAGAATGCGGCAGAATTGGCACAAAATTCACCGCTTTTTTTTTCTTTTTCTTCTCTTGTTTAAATTATGAACCCCAGCTGAAAAATATTCACACTAATCAAGCATTTATTTAAAGCAAGAAAGGGCTCGGTGGTGGATGGTCCACACCTGTATTATTTGAATTTCCCCATTGCGGATTTACGCAGGAGGAGCTCTTTTGATTCGGGCCGGAGCCGTTTGTTGGATCAGTGTCTTTTTTTTAGTTACGTAGAAGCCGGCGAGGGGTGGGGAAATTCTACCGCGCTCCTCGGGTTCGAGAGAAAGCTCCACCTGGATCGCAGCCAGGTTTCTCTTTCTTTCTTTTCTTCTCTTGTTTAAATTTATGAACCACAACTGAAAAATATTCACACTAATCAAGCAGTTATTTAAAGCAAGGAACGCTCGGTGGTGGATGGTCCACATCTACATTTCGTGAATCATTCTGCGCAGTGAGTCATTGACGCAGGAGGAGCCCGTTCGATTCGGGCCTGAGCCATTTGTTGTGTGTAGTGTATTTTTTTTCTAGCTGCGTTGAATCCAGCGTGCGGTCGTGCTGCAATTCCACCGTGCTCATCATGATCCAGTTCGAGTGAGTGCTCACAACAACCGCAGTGATTTCTTCTTTTTTTGTGAACCACAGTGACGCAAAAGAAAATTAGTATCTACACCAATCAAGCCAGTATGCAAAGCAAGGAAGGCTCGGCGGTGGATGGTCCACACCTGCATTCCTTGCTAGTTTCGTCTCAATTTATGCAGGAGGAGCCCGTTCCATTCGGGCCTGAGCCATTCCTGAGTCAGGCGATTTTTTCTTAATTTTTTTTAGCTCGCCTGCACATTCAAGTTGTAACGTAGAACCGGCGTGCGGTGGTGATGTGATCACCCTTGCTCTCGCTAAAACGCATGGTCTTGCATCACAGTACTCATGGCGATTTTTCTTCTCCTTCTTTTACGGTGGTGGATGGTCTACATCTGCATTCCTTAATTAGTCGTGGATCAGGTATTTATGCAGGAGGAGCCCATTCGATTCGGGCCTGAGCCATGATCGGCAATGCGCGTTCTTCTTTTTTTAGCTGCCGCCTGCGCGCCGTAACAAGGTTGCATCCGAAGCAAGGAAGGCTCGGTGGTGGATGGCCCACATCTGCATTTCTTGTTGTATTCGTTTGTGTTTACGCAGGAGCCGCCCGTTCGATTAGGGCCTGAGCCATTCGTTGTGTGCAGCGTATATTTTTTTAGCTGCGGTAACGGCTCTACTCTGGAGTATTCTGGGGTAAGTCTGTTTACTCTGAGAGTAACTCCGCTTACTCGGAGCATCAAAATTACCTTCCAATATTCTGTACCGCTTATTAAAAGCTGAATTGAACTGAGTGTCGTCGTTAAGTCACAGGTCATGTACTACAGTATTTGTAGAACAATATCACTAAAATGGGAGAAGGAGGGTACAAACTATCAGAAATTCCAGCACCTGCAGCATGGTCTCTGTGGAGCCGTATGTGTGATGTTCGCTCGATGCCCCGGTCATTCCATCAAGGCGACTGATAGTCACATGATTGAACTTGCGGGTGTACCTGCAGTGCGAGTCACTATAGTAGCGTGCCAAAATGGTATAGAATAAATATTTCAAAGATTGCGGTGCTCCAGACGACGGGCATCCATTTGGAGCGTTGGCGGTCAGCTCAGAGGAAGCCGCATAGGGTATTTAATTGAAGCCCAGGCGCGAAAACAGCTGGCCGAGGAACACTGATGATGTGCACAGTGCTTTATGCCGTTTCGAAGAAGTGCGCAGGGCGGGATCAGGTTAGATGCGTGCATGCAAAGATGGAGAAGGGAGGCGCACCTTAACGACCTTTTTCGTGAGGAGGTGCTTCTTCACATAGTGAATCATGCGCTTGATGACGGAGACGATGAAGATGGGGAGGACGATGGCCATGGCCGGGAGCATGATGATCCAAAATCTGCGTGCTGGGTGAGTGGAAGTGGACGGGGGAAGAAGGGAGCAGGGCAGCGCACATGACGTGCGAGTGACCGTGCGAGTGACCGTGCACGCTCCTGTTCGAAGTTCATTCCGAAGTACCCCGATAATATGCTGTAAAAAAGAAAAGTAGTGCTAAATTTGTTCTTCTTACCCGTGAAGACACATGACGTGCGAGTGACCGTGCACGCTCCTGTTCGAAGTTCATTCCGAAGTACCCCGATAATATGCTGGTAATAAAAAAAGTATTTCTAAATTTGTTCTTCTTACTCGTGAAGAGTGTGAGCGGAAGGAAGATAATTGTCGCGAGCATGAGCCGACACATCACCCCATTCATCTCGTACAACGCCACATAGCGGCAGATCAGCGAAGGCCGTGAGAGATGTACATTGAACGAGCAACTCGTCAATATGTGTCAAACACGTCCGCCTGCGTGCGTTAGTTGATACAAAAAAAAGTAGGGGACGACCGGCACGTACAAGATATATACTGTTCTTGAGTCACGAACCTTACCACCTTGAAATTCTCGTTCCCCTCCGCCGTCATGTTGATAAGCGCCGGGGCACGACATCGTACTACTGCAGTCTGTAGATGACGGTCCGGATCGGCTCGAGTGTGCGCTTGTGCAGGATAAGGTCACGGGAGAGAATGTGCAGGTTGCAAACTATCGAGATCTTGGGTTTGAGCAGGATCTCACACTCGAACTTTTTGATCCTGACATGGTATGCGTTGAGGACAGAAGCGGGCAGAAGGGATCGCGTACCTCGAGTGCCTTGTCGACGACGAGATCGAGCAGAGAAGTGACAGGCCCGACGTGCGCAGACCGGTGTCGCGTTGTCGCAACCGCCGCGCGATCATGATGGGCTGCGTGAGCTCAAAAAATTGCGAGATTCTGATGTGGAACTATGAGTCGGACGCGGTGCGGGGAGATCGCTGACAATGTTGAGACAGGAGTGCAGGAGTGAAGACAAGCTTTGCTTACAAGCACTCTACAATTCACGCTCGTTGGATTCTCCAGATTGGAGCGAAACGGCGCCGCCGCGCCGGCCCTGCCAGTGGCTCGGCGGTGAATTCTGAAGGCTAACTAAATTTCCCCTGGGCTGGTCTCTT